GTAACGTGTAACAAGGACACCTTAAAATAAAGTGTTACCTAATTTCTTTAAAAAAATAAAAAATAAAGAAAACCTCTTACTTCTTATTCAGACTTTTGAACTAGTGTATACTGTAGACATAACTAAAATGTTGACCCTCGTAGTTATTTTGTGACACCTTCCCCAGGTGACAACGTGCCCCGGTGTCCTTATGCATACAAATGAATGTATTAGTATTGTAATAGTACTATATTAATTAGTACACATATGTGACATTGACATACCTTGCAATAGTCATTGGTTTGTTAAAATTATATACAGGGCCTTGCCGGAATAAAACCTGAAAAACATAAATACTAGATCACATAAAGCTAAAAGTAGTGCAGTACCCATCAAAACGGAACACAAGACTTCCTGTCAAGCATTCTTCTGTAACAGTTCGCAGTGGGAGTGTCTCTCATACACGAGTTCTTAACCTTTAACGCAGTTCAGTCAAGACTCCTTTCGTTCTTATAAAAACGACTTCATATACATTATATGATATAAGGATTTTAACACGGTTACAACGCAAAACATTCGCACTCCTAATGTAAACTTAGTGTAATACTGCAAGGCAGTTGTCTGTCATTCATTGGCTCACACTGGTGACCTTCATGTCTGTGCATCAGTGTGGACGCTACCTGGGTCGCAGCGGTGGAGCCCTCTGTTCTTCCGCCTCCTGAAGCCGCATGAGTGAAAGCTCTTCTGCTGAACCCGCAACACCAGTCCAGCAGCACAGCCGCTCCAGCGCCGCTCCTCCAGCATCGGCTCCACGGCACCGCCATACTAGCACAACCAAGAGCGGCACATGCCCGGTGACGACATGTTACGGAGCCGCTGCATGAACCGGAAGAAACAAGCACGTGATGTGCTGCTGTTGGAAGAGGGCCATTTTAGGTTTATAAAATAGGCGTGGTATAGTGGCCCATTACTTGTCTCTAATTGGTCAGTTGCGGTCATTCATTCTAAAAATAATTAGAAATTATTGTAAATGTTTATTATTATTATTATTATTAGTAGTAGTAGTAGTAGTAGT